GGCGTCGCGCCGAGCGCCGCCCCGCTCCCGCATCCCGGTGCGTCAGGCGTCGCTGGAGACGCCTCGCTCGCAGCGGTCCGTCAGTCATGCCGCCTACGAGCTGGAAGCGTCGCAGTCGCAGGGCACGCCTCGCTCGCGCATCCCGGTGCGTCAGGCGTCGCCGTGCTCGCAGGGCACGCCTCGCTCGCCGCGGTCCCCCAGCTATGCCGCTTACGAGCTGGAGCTGGAGGAGCAACGGGCGAGGGCCGGCCGGCGGGCGACGCCGCCGCCGCCGCCGCGGTCCGGCCGCGTCGACCAGCAGCGGACCAGCCGGCCGGCGCGGCAGGCGCGGCCAGGCGGCGGGAGGCAACCGCCTGGGCGGCCGCATCCCTGGCCACCGCCGCAAGGCGAGCCCGTGCCGGACATCGCGGAGGCGCGGAGGCGGGCGGCGGTGGCGGCGCGGCGGCCGGTCAGCGCTCCAATCTCGCCGCGCGCCGGCAGGACGGCCGGCCGCCGGCCGCCAGCGCGGCCCCCCTGGCCGGCGGGCCGTCGACACGCCGCGCTCCGAGCGTAGCTCGTCCAGCAGCGGCGCCGCCGTCGCCACCGCCGGCACTGTCTGCACGCTCGGCTACAGCGAGGTGGAGCTGCTGCAGGCGCGGCTGGTGCGGCGGCGGCTGAGCGACGGGCGACCGCTGCGGCTGGCGCCGGACGGCGACGGCGGCTTCGACGGCGGCCGGGCGGTGGTGCGCCGCCTGCAGCCGACCTCGGTGCAGACGCAGACGGACGAGTTCGCGCACATCAGCAGCCTGCTGCAGCTCGACCTGTACCCGTGCGAGCCGGCCGGTGGCGCCCCTGAGCCGAGCGACCGGTGACGCACAGCGGGCAAGCGGCTACGGCGCCTGGGCAAGACGAGACGGCGGCGCACATTGAACCAGAGGATGGCGAGCGGCGGCGCACGGCGTACATCGCACGTCGGGGACACGCAGTGGGACTGGCAGCCGCTGAGGTAATAACGGTGGCGCATATTGGATGGCAGCCAGTCAATAGCGCCCTGGCGACAATATTCTGCGGAATGTGGCCCGCCCACGACGCATACTGTAGGATCATAGTGTGCCCAAAAGCCCACAGGTCGGAAAGGTGCTTCTGCGCGCGGGGCACGGTGGGCCAGGGTGCCAGAATAAGCGGCCAACTGGGAGGCAGGTTCAAAGGGGTGAGGGCAGACGTTTGCGAGGGAATCGTGTAATTCAATGCGATATAATGAGCTGAAAGGCAGGGTAAGGCGCATGTAGTCTTTTTGGTCTCGCTCTAGTTTCGAACTGGTACAGCCAAAGGCCGTGACACCGCTTTGCATTCGAGGTGTCCAATATCTAGCTTTCAAATAAACTAGCGACAAAGAATATCTAGTGAGCTTAAAATGATCCGACAGCGACAACCCCAAAATCACAAGCGGCAGACGACACGATTGGAGAAAACAAAACAAGAGGTGGATCTTAAGGTTGTGTTTCCCTCGCGTCATAATCGAAAGCTTTTGCTACTTCCTTCAAACAAAGTCAGACCTGCCCGAGACACCCCGCTGCAGTAGTGGGTTCAACACAAAACGACGCGCGGACGCCAGGCTATCCCTGCGGCTCTGTCAGCGCGTTGGCGTCGAACACCACATCAGCCTGTTCAGTGTTGGCTCACAGTCCGTGGGTGCGCGGCGCACCATCATTCTCCCAGTCAGCCAGAGAGGGGAGAGATGGGGGGGGGGGGGGGGGGGGGGTGCAGGGGGGGGGGGTCGAGGGGGGGGGGGGGGGGGGGGGGGGGGGGGGGGGGAGGGAGGGTGGCAGAGCGGGCGGAGCCGTCGCCGTCCAGGTCGGCGAGGGAGGGGAGGAGGGAGGACGGGGGGGGGGGGGGGGGGAGAGGGTGCTGCAGAAGCGTGCACCGCCCCACCAGCGGGAGCGTACCGTCACCGTCCGGGTCAGCTTCCTCGTCCACCTCGTCGAGCGCCTGTCGGATGCAGACGGCCGGATCGAGCAGCCGGTACACGCGGCACATGCGCTCCTGGCCTGTGTTCTTGACCACCCACTGGGCGCGCGTCGCATCCGGGAACATGGCGCGATGCGGCACCTGGCAGCAGCGCCAGACCCGCATCACCGGCCGCCCAGCTCTGCTTGGCTTGGCTTGGCCGGCCACCGTACGTCAGCCGGTGTGCTTGTCTGAGGCGACGAATGCATGAGAGAACAACAAAATAGTGAATTATTTTTACAAGCGCGAAAGGTCCTGGGTTCCCTTTTTTCGGCATTTTAGTTGGGAGTTGTTATTCTGGATATAACCGACCGTCAATATGCAAGGAGGCACTGATTGAACGATTTCACTTGTTGAACGAATTATCAAGCAAGCATTGCCTATATGGACGAAACTCGATGTTGAAATGAGCACAGCCTAAAACTTCGAGCGTTGTCAACATAGACAATGCTCGTTTCACAATCCCGTTTAACCGGTGCTTCCTGGCATGTTGTTGGTCGACTGTTGCTGAAATGAAAACTCCCACTACCAAAACACAGAAAGCAGTTCTGGCATCAGGGGTGCGTAATGTGTGCTTCTTTGCGCCGACGTCATAGCGATGAGCCAGATTGCTGACTGAACAATGCGCATACATATACACAGATTATGCGATAAATCTCACCATCTCCCATTTGATGAACCTCTGAAACTCTGACATCTTGGCCACCTTCTTGAGAGCCGTTACCGAGTCGAACTGTTTGTTGAACTCGGAGATCAGCATGCTGGAAGAACATCATTAAAATGAAACCACGAGAAAAGGCTAACGAAAGTTATACTTGGGCTTCAAAACCTTACCGGCGGCAGAGAACAGGAACACAGTAAGATCAGTGTACACCATATAGGAACACTCAGCATGATATCTATGGGCTCACAAACATCGCTGATTCCGCCTGAAAGGCAAATCAAGCGTTGCGTCCTGTTCCCCAACAGAGTTTACCCACGGTGGTGCCCCCAAAGACGGCCGCTTGGTCAGGTCACCCGAACAAACGGTCGGGTCAGATCATCAAAGATTGGGTCAGGTCACCAAGGGCCGGGTCAGGTCATACAAGATTGGGTCAGGTCACCAAAGGCCGGGTCAGGTCACACAAGATGGGCCAGGTTATCAAGGGTCGGTCAGGTTATCAAAGTTCGGGTCAGATCAGCTTTTCCTTAAAAATCGAGCAGCTTGCTTAAGCTGCACTGAGTCTGAACGCTGACTGACATCAACACCGATCTGCATCCACACCGATCGCGAGCCGGACGTCCGCCTCCCAACTCTGATCACGCATCACACACCCCGGCCAGGCGGTACTGCCCCACTCGTCGGCCACTAGGGCGTGTCTCCCAGAGAGCGCCCGGCCGGCGCCCCACCACACCAGGCGACTCTCCCCGCCGACGCACGTGTAGCTGGGCTGCTGGCGCAGGACGTCGGCCGCGTGCTCGATCATGACCTGGTACTTCGGCCGGAACTCGCGGAAGAAGCGCGGCATGTGGTACAGCCGGCCCTGGCAGTTTTTCCCGTTCGAGCCGCGCATACAGAACCCCTGCCGAGCGCGGCGAACGGCACGTCACGTCACCGACGGTGGCGGCAAACGGCGCGTCGCGTCACCGGGGGCAGCGGCAAACGGCACGTTACGTCACCGACGGCAACGACAAACGGCGCGTCACGTCACCGACGGCAGCGACAAACGGCGCGTTACGTCACCGACGACAGCGATAAACGGCGACGCGTGTAACGGTGGCGTGCGGTCGCTGTGACTAGGGTTCAAATACGTGGTAAACGGCTGGCTCTTCAAGGCCTGGGTAAGACGACTGTTCTACCTGCGACTTGAAGTGGGCTTAAATGCTCAATGGGTACACTTTTCCTGTTTGGCGAAAATGTTTGCCATAGCTGCACGAATGTGATGCTCTGCCGTTTTCCTTGTGGTAAACGCAAGTTGACATCAGAATTTGCGCAGATTTACATGGAAATTAGCGCAATTTTATATAGAGTTTGGCACTGAGTATGTGAAATTGCATTTCAGCATCGAACTGTTACAATTCGACAACGTCCATACTCAATACCAATGGGTCAAACTTAATTTGCGTGTATATCACATCATAACATAAACACCACCCCCTTCGCGCAGGCGCACCCCACCTAGCCCATCTCCCACCCCACCTGTTTGGTGATGAGCCGGTACTCGAGCAGCCTTCTTGCGCAGTAGTAGAGGGTTTTTGGAGCGGCTTCCTTGAGTACGCCCAGACCGAGCGTGCCGACCGTGACCTCGCCGTGGAAGCGGGACCGGGCCTGCGAGCACGACCCGGGTCAGCGCAGCAGACACCAGCCACGGCCGCAGGTCCCGGCACGGTGACGTCACAAGCGCACGACGCAAAGTGTCGCGAGCCGCGCGCCTGCCGCGGCGCAGCACCAGAAACACCCGCGTCAAAA